CCGCATCTTTAACAATGAAGATGTCTCAGAGATATAAACAGGCCATCAGGCATGCATGGATGATACCCGGCCTTGTACAAAAGTCAGTTGACATGCTATTTGCATGTAACTGCTGGTAGTCTGGTAAGTTAATATATACAGACATCAATCCCCACACTGGGTTGCTAGGAAGCCTGATTACGTGCACGTGCAAAAGTATTAACAGTCCGCGTTTGTATTTAATTAAATTAAAACGTGATGAAAGCACCATTGCTATAAACATCTGAAATGAACACTATATAAAACTCATCGCCTTGGTACAGCGCCACACAAACAAATAAACTCAAAGTACATTTTCAAGCTCCTTCAATTGTATATAAAATAAGACAGCTGTCATTATTGACATCATGAAATCATATGTTTCAATACCTCTGTATCGAATGCCATAAAACAGCAGATCTAAATGCCTCCATGTATATCACCAGAAAGATATAAAACCATTCTTACCTGATTTATTCTTTGATATTCGTTTGCAATCCAACATATAAACTCGTATGATCTCGTATTAAAAGTTTAAAACTGCTTGCACAAATGCACAATACAAAATAAAGTTTGACCGCCCCCCTCGTTAAAAAAACTTCCTGAAGCTTAATTATTCCTCCCGAATATCATCATAACAGACAGAAAGACAGACACAAATCGAGATCTCGACATTACATAGATCGCGCCAAAGACTGGGTCGAGTGGACTCTGGAGAAACCACCGCCTGTCAAGAATAGGGTGCTGCCTTGGGCAGCAATTATTCGCCTCAGGATCGGTGATTATCGGGGAATATTCGCCGAGACGAAGTCGAGGTGATTATCGGGGAATATTCGCCGAGACGAAGTCGAGGTGAATATTCTCCGATAATCACCGAGCCTGAGGCGAATAATTGTTTTAGTATTTTTGAACAAGTCCTTTGTGTTTATTTGGACTGAGTTTATTTTAATTTCGCTTAACTTCCACAAAACGGCTAGCCGCCATTTTGCAAAATGTGCCGGGTTTTGTTATATTCACCTGCATATAGGTGAATATAACAGCTTAATACGTAAAATTTGACTATAATCAACTTGCAGGATTTGTTATATTCACTTGTGCAAAAATACTAAAACACTTTATTAGCGAACATCTTACGAATTATTAATGACATGGAAAACTTTCTATAATATCTAAGGAAAACTTCATGTGGTGATAGAGTTCTGTCCTGGTGGAAACCTGCGAAATTTATTGCTCAACAGTAGAGTTAGCTATCCTTCACCTGAAAACTCATCGAATTATATCAACATGACATCAACTTTAAATCATCGTCAATTGTTAAAAATTGCAGTGGATACTTCAAATGGAATGGTTCATCTTTCTTCTCAGAAGGTATTTATAGTTGTTTTGCTAATGTGTTTATGAAATCAAATTTTCCAATCAATTTTCATTATTTAAAGAATTACAGTCAACCGTGATGATTCGCGCTAAGTGAATATTTATTTAAATGACATTGATCCTTTGTTGGAGCTGCTCATAAAAAAACTGTAAATAACTAATGAAATACATTAGCTTTATTATAAACAAAAAACTTTAAGACATTTATCCGCTGTGTTTTGATGAAATCCTGATTCCTGCTCCATCAACGTTGATTGCTGCCCCTCAGCTGCAACGTTCACGCAGTTCGTCCATGCTTTGATAGAGCAGGATTTCGGCGAACTCGCTATGTGAAAGCCACCGTATTCCTACACTGTAAATCTCGCGGTGTTGCGGCAACACCAAAAAGGTGTAACATTACACTAATTAGGTGTAACGCGGAATTAAACACCGTTCGAGTGTAACATTACACTTCCACAGTGTAACTTTACACTATTTTAGTGTCTCGGTAACACCGACTAGGTGTAAAGTAGAAAATATTCTATTTACACCTAATTCGGTGTAGATTTACATTAGAACGGTGTAACATTACCTCTTTCCCTGTTAATTTACACATTGCGATAGTGTAAATATACACTTATTCGGTGTAAAGTATACCAACACTTGCGAAGTGTAAATTTACACTTTTCCTGGTGTATCATTACACCTAGAACGCGTTAAAATACACGGAGCTGAGGTGAAGTAGAAACTAGTGTATTCTCTATTATTGCAGTGTAAATTTACCCTTAACAAGTGTAAATTTACCCAATTCTTGTGTATGGGATAACACCATGATAGTGTAAATATACACCGGAGTGGCGTAAAAATTATGAATGCTTTCTTAGTGTAAATCTACACTGAACCTGGTGTATAATTACACTAGCTAAGACTATTTTAAGACACACTGATCTGGTGTAAAGTAGAAACCGAAGTATTAACACCTTTTTGGTGTAAATTTACCCTCAAACGGTGTAAATTTAGCCTATTCTTGTGTATGAGATAACACCATGATTGTGTAAATATACACCGGTATGATGTAAAAAACATGAATGCTTACATCGTGCAAATCTACACTGAACCTGGTGTATAATTACACAAGACGATTTTAAGATACACTGATCTGGTGTAAAGTAGAAAATTAAACGAAGTATTAACACTTATTATGCTGTAAACATACCCTCAAACGGTGTAAATGTACCTAGCTAATTCTGGTGTATGTAACACCATGATAGTGTAAAGTGTAAACATACACCAGAATTTGAAGCTCAGATAGGCTATTTCCAGCATTTTGAGGAGTGTTCCAACAAGAAATTAACTTTATATACAGTGGCATAATTACTGCAATTTTACAATCTCCCAAATGTAATCCAGTCCCAATAAGGCAACATGATGTGATGATGGCGGTAATGAAAATGTGCGTGGTATAGTATTATCATTCACCACACTTCAAATTTTACAGTACTGTATTACATGTATTGGGGTACTTGATATCGACGCATTCGCTTCTCAGTGTCACTGAAGAGCACGATAGGGTGGTCTCTTTGGAGTATCTTTGCTTGGAAAAACTAAACTAGAACCTAAAATGCCATTTCATGCCTTTTTCCACGAGCAAATTATTTCAGCCATGGTTTAGGTTTCTGGCGATGTTTAAATTTCAGTCCCCAAAATTCCTACCGAGGCATGCAACTGACTCGGTTGACTCATAGCTAGTTACGGACCTGCAGATGATGGTCAAATTCAGAAATGTTAACAGCTTATAACATCATTTTCTCACTTTGATATACAATTGCTGGTTGACCACCTACTGCAGATAGTTCTTAGGGACCTTGCACTGGGGGGTGGGACAAAATTGCTGACTGGAGGGGCCACTAGGAGGGCTGGGGGGGGGACATGTCCCCGCAGTCTATATGTTAAAAGAGGCCTTGAGTCATTTTATCGAATTTAATTGGCCTGAAACTGAGTTTATAGTACTCCTAGGAGTTTACGTGGAATTCGTCTTGGTTTATTTCATAATTATTTATATCCAATCTAGCAAAATTTCTACGGGGGCGGATACGTAATAGTCTCCAGAGTGGTAGATTTCCTACGTACAGTCAGACAGCCGTGATAACTAAAATTCGTAAAATTAGGTGTGGAGCTTATATTGCGTCGTAAATGCTTTGATTATTGTCGTTTAAGCAAGATATAATAAGACAGTTAGAATTTTGAAGATAGAAATTAGAATTATAAGTTTCTGTCAAAAAACCGCAATACAGTTTAATTTGCACTGGATTGTTCACATGATTGAGATCAGTGCCTTCATATATGGGCTCCCAGAAGGCTTAGCGGGACACATTTCGAGCGCGTCCTTTGGAAATTTTATAACGCTGGTTGATAAATATTATATGGCCAGTTTTCTTAAAATATTTACGAAAATATGAAGAAATACTCCAATTTTTGAAGGTCCACACAATAATCTTAAATGTAAGTGTTAAACTATGTCAATATTTTGAAGTTTTGTGTGTAAATATGTGCCATAAATAGTTGTATTCATGTATATTTGTAACCGCCGTGCCGTTGGTCGCATTTGTATTTTTAGATTTTTTTAGATTTATTAACTTCAGCCGTCAACAGAAATATACATATGCAAACAGGAAGACGGTTCAGGAACACTAACACAGCGTGAGCCAATTACGTCAGTGACAAAACATCATTGTACAAAACTTCACAACTTATAATTTAAATATCAAACAAGAATATAGTATAATCCTTTTTATCCGAAGTAGAGAGACAGCGTAAAAATTTCGAAATTTGGTAAAACAAAATGACAAAATTGTCAAACAGAATAAATGCGAGAATATATATAGGTTCTGTATCCGTCGATAAAATAAAACGAAAATGGCGAAAAACCCAACTCTACATCGGATAAAATGAAGTATACTACATTGAATAATTGCCAAAATAACTAGTTCAATTAAGAACAACATTTCATTGTTGCAGTAAGCTGCCTGGCTTTATGGCATTTCAGACAAACTGATTTCCACGTCTGCGGATTTTCCTGGTCAAACACGGTTAATGTTGCGGAGTGGTAATAGTTTATAACACGTGATTTAAAGCTCTGCAATGATAGTTCTGGTTTCCGTAGCTCATCTGGTAGGCAGTTCCACACATGCGATACTCGTACAAGATAACTGTTCTGGTGACATAGCGTTCTTACTTTAGGAATGTTATATTTTACAAGAGAGTTATTAGAAGAGCGTAGATTTATGGTTGAAGTAAGAGTGTCAACTTCTTCGGGTAGGATATCAGTTTTAACCAAGCCATATTTGCATTTGAAGAGGAACAGGATATCAAGATATTCGTGCCAGTAACAGAGAGGTAGCATATTCAACGCAGCGAGTCTCGTTTTATATGGCATGTCCGTTTGGAATGGTAAAGACAGTACGAATTTGGTCGCTCTACGTTGTATGCGTTCGAGCTCCATACACATGGTGATAGTCTGTGGACACCACACTTTGAGGCATAAGCAAGATGGGATCTCACAAGTGTAAGGTAGAGACAGCGTCGGGTATTTACGTTTTTAACTTTGATAGTCGAACGTTTGAGCATACCAAGTAGGCGGTTGGCTTTCGTAACTTGCTCGTAAATATGAGTGTTCCATCTGAGATCTGAACAAACCGTCACTCCGAGGTCTTTCTGGGAGGAAGCATGCTGCAAAGTTTTACCGTTGACAATGTATTCAGCAACAAGAGGATGACGTTTTCTTGTAACGCTCAGAACTTTGCATTTTTCGGCGTTGAATTTGAGCCTCCAAAACTCAGCCCATTTCTCCACGTTTCTCGCTTTAGCTTGAAGGACACAGGCGTCAACCGGTGATTCAATAACTGAGATGCATTTTTTGTCGTCGGCAAACAAGGAAACGTCAACAGCGGATGAGTGGTCCGAGTATTGATCCTTGCGGAACGCCGGAGGAAACTGGACGTGTCTCTGAAATCTCACCATTGACTAGTACACGCTGTTGTCGTCCGGATAAATAACTTTTAAATCACGTTAAAATATTGTCCTTAAGTCCAAATCGTTGGAGTTTCTTTAAAAGAAGGCTATGATTCACCGTGTCAAACGCTTTAGCAACATCGAAATACAAGATATCTGTTTGTTTCCCTGAATCCAGGTTTTGACTGATGCGGTGAAGAACGGAAATGAGCTGACCTGTGCAAGACTTTCCTCTCAGAAAACCATGCTGTGCGACGGATATCATGTCCTCTATATGACCAATCAGACGGTTGTAAACACAACGTTCTAAAACTTTCGAAACAACGCACATGAGGGAAATTGGTCTGTAATTCTCAACAAAACTCTTGATTCCTTTTTTATGAAGCGGGATGATGTTGGACAGTTTCCATTCTGATGGTAGGGAGGCCTGCTTTAAGGATTTGTTGAAGAGACATGTTAATGATGGTGTGATGGAGTGCGCACATTCTTTTAGTAAGCGGATTGGTATATTATCTGGACCAGATGCTTTACTAGGATCGAGGCAATGAAGATTTTGTATTGGGTTCAACAATATATTGTTACAAAAATACTTTAAAACTTAGTGATATTGCTTTGTATTTACAGATTATAATTCCAAGCAATAAATATTGTCATAATATGTGCTCCAAAGCAAGTCGAACTGTCGAAATCATGATACCTGTAAATGTATTAAAACGACAACAAACTAGAATACTACAGGCTACAAGAAGGTATGAATATAGTTTAATGTATTGAGATGATATCAATATTGATTCATTTAGCTAATATTGATATAATCGCCAAAGCAAGTTCTATGGCTTTGTATGAGAAGAGAATAATTCCTCCTCTGTGTTTAATATTTATATTGTGCCTATCAATAGATTCCAGACAACCCTAAATATACATATTGCTGAATTCCCTGAATACATTCAGGATATATGATGCTTGTGATGTTACTCTGAGTGTATATCCACATCGGGCAAGCTTGAAAAATGTGCCTGGCCACAGTGGGAATCAAACCTACGACCTTTGGAATACTAGCCCAATGCTCTGCCAAATGAGCTACGCGGTCAGGTCGGTTCGAGTACCGGTATGTGATATTTCGGAACGGAATCTAGTTCCTTCAATATCAATGTAATCTAGTGATCATGACTTTTTCAGTGTTGGTGTAATGTACTCAGGTGAATATGATGCTTGTGATGTTTCTCTGAGTGTATATCCTGACCGCGTAGCTCAGTTGGCAGAGCATTGGGCTAGTATTCCAATTAAGGTCGTAGGTTCGCTTCCCACCATGGCCAGGCATATTTTTCAAGCTTGTCCGGTGTGGATATACACTCAGAGCAACATCACAAGCATCATATTCACCTGCATGAGTACATTACACCAACACAGAAAAAGTCATCCAGGATATATGTTTTTCATAATTTTTTCTGTGTTGGTACCTACATTGGGCTAGTATTCCAAAGGTTGTAGGTTCGATTTCCACCGTGGCCAGGCATATAAATTTTTCAAGCTTGCTCGGTGTGGATATACACTCAGAGTAACATCACAAACATCATGTTTCTCATAGTTATACCTCTGAGGAATTCCAAGCTCAAAAATTATATATGATCCCCTGATTGCCCTGAAGAAGTACTATGCAGACACTAATATGGCATAATGCCATAATTAGTAAATGTTTATGACTTATGAATCAAGTTCAGGGCCGTAGCTAGACGCGATAATTTGGGTGGTGTATATTCATATAAATAAATTCATGTTCACATACCGTAAAAACAATCGCTTTCAAAAGAAATCCATCTGGGCAGAGCACGAATATATGAATATACCCCACCCCCCAATTATCGGTCTAGCTACGGCCCTGGTCAAGTTGTGTGTTTATATGGAACCGAGGTAGCCCAGATACCAGAGTTCATTGTACATAGTGTTGTACCAACAACCAAGTAGAATTTCATCCATGTTTACATACTTGAGACTTTTCAGGCAGGTCAGCTCAAAGCACCTGTCTTTATTGCTATATAAGAGCTGTTTACATTGCCCTCTGAAAATGTACCACCGTACGGAACAGATAAAATGACATTCTTACTGAGTGAATTTACCTGTGCTTGGACAAAGGTTTGAAATGACTATATACCGGATATCATATCCAGGCTCAGGGCTGCCGAGAGAATTTGCAGGGCCCTGGGCAAATCTTCTCTGGGGGCCCCATGACTAGACCTTAGCTAGACTGCATGTTGAGCTACTGTAAGCGGCCCTCAATTTCAAAAATGCTCTCATCAATTTAAAGGACCTACTCAATTTTAGGCTCTCAAGTTGGGGGCCCTATTAAGGTTGGGGCCCAGGGCAATTTCCCCCTCCCTCTATCGGCAGATAGTGAGATAATCTTACTATCCAGTATATTGGCAGATACTGGATTTGACCTTTGAACTTTGTGGACAAGGCTTTGGCAATACCCATGTTTAGAATGAAGTTATTTCCTATAATTCAAGTATCTTTTCAAGTCAAAGTATTATAAACACCCTCATTTTATAATCAATTAAACTAATTATTTATCTTAAATGAAAGTCTAAACCTTTATATCAACAGTATCCAGTATTCAGCCGGATAATGCGGATATCTTTCTTTCAACTATCCGACATAGCTGAAATCTGGCTGGATGTCAAAAATGTCTATCTGGTGCAGCCCTAGAAATGACCAAATGCCAGGTGAACGTCAATTGTGACCAATTGTTTTATCTGGCAACCAGGTATTTCCTAAAGGTAGCCCTCATTGTGACTGAGAAAAAAAGTTTAAAAAAGACAAGTGTATAACTTTAATAAAAATATTGACTTAGGCTAATGAGGTTTTGGGGTAATTAGTTAGGATTATCTACAAATTTTACTTGGACTGTAGACAAATTGGCACAGGAGGGCATGTTCTGAAAGGGAAAAGCTGGCATTGTATAACAGACCCTGAGACACATGTGCAGCAAGCTAGAACTGGTTGAATTTAAATGTGCTTCAGTTACTTCATATTGTATGTCATTGCAACTTTAGAGTTGCGTGTTAATTATTTCCCTGCCGCTACCATGAGAATGAAATTATTATGCATTAGGGATGCACCTGATAGAACATTTTACTATCCAGCCGAATACCATATATGCCGAACGGATGGAAAATATCCTACCAGATTATCCGGCCAAATACTGGATATAGAGTGATTATAAAATATATGTAGGATATATAAAATAAGATATAAACTTTAAAAATGTTGGAAGCGAAACCAGGATTCTCTGGTTAAAAAGATTTATTTATTACAAGCGTTCGACTGCCAGTCTGCAGACGGAGACCTGTCAAAGACTGCAGACTGGCAGTCGAAAGCTTGTAATAAATAAATCTTTTAACCAGAGAACGTTTACACAATTAAGATATAAACTGTGTATAAAGTGATGCTTTTTATAATATATTGATTTGAAATGATACAAAAGAACTTCACAGTGAATTAAACTTAAAGTGCCCAAATATACATGTACTATGTTTATTATTTACTGTGACTAAAAATGTTAATCCCAGAAAAGTTTACTCCTCTGGTTAATTGGTTTTAAACGGTCTCTCTGCCAATGTGCCTTGTTTAAATCATACTATGCCCTAAACCACTCGACTTGCCCTAAAAAGTGTTACTTGTTGATAGTTTAGCCAGACTTTCCACCCAAATCTCAAATATTTACTCTGACATGTCACCAACAAAAAATTAGATTGGGTTTGTTCTATAAGTTGTTTGATACTTTCTCATAAACCCACAAAAGGTACAGTGCACTCTTTATAATAATCTCTAATGCAAAATAATTATCTTTCAAGGGAACCTGCTGGCCATTAATGTTTAACGAAGGACAGTTGCACACCAAAACCTTTGTAGATTTTGTGCGCTACAATATAGTGATGTGTTCTTCTTCGACTGTGTCAAAGTGCCATTCAGCAAAGATTCTATTGGTTTCAAATCGCCTGTACTGGTAATATGAACTTTAATTTGGGTTGTGACTGATATAAACTATGTTGAAATGATTCAACTGAATCGAAATATGTAACATAGACTATAGTTTTAAACTCTAAAAATATATAATTTACATTTGTACTTTCTATTCTCTTCATTGTTTTAATTTGGTAATTCAGTTAAATTGAGTTAATAACATACAATCTTAAGCAGCATTTATATAAAAAGGTATTTTTACATTCCATTAAGTTTATATTGAATATAGCTACTTTAGACATCAATTGGATGTACATTTACATCACAAACCATATCCACGCCGGGTCAGCTCTTCCCAAAAATCGGCCATTTGATATAAACTTTTTCAATATATTTCGGATGGACATGAAACTTGCTACATCAATATAACTTTCCATTCCGAACAATCGTATGTTTTTTATTTTTGAGATTTAACGGTTTTTGGCGGGAAAATGACGTCACGAAACCTCCAGTTAAAATTTATTTTCAATATCTTAATAGTTTTTAAGCAGAATGTGGAAGATCATGTCATGAAGAGTTGAAAACTGAAAACAGATTTTAAATATCTTAATCTAATCACGAGATACAGGGAGTTTAGAATCGAATTTTCCACCATTTTGTTACTATTTATAGATTTTTCACGGTTTTTATAGTGAAATAACTTTGGATTAGGTTTAGATATTTAAAATCCGTTTTCAGTTTTGAACTGCTCATGATATGTTCTTCCAAATTCTGCGACAAAACTATTAAGATATTGAAAATAAATTTTAACTGGAGGTTTCGTGACGTCATTTTCCCGCCAAAAACCGTTAAATCTCAAAAATAAAAAACATACGATTGTTCGGAATGGAAAGTTATATTGATGTAGCAAGTTTCATGTCCATCCGAAATATATTGAAAAAGTTTATATCAAATGGCCGATTTTTGGGAAGAGCTGACCCGGCGTGATCAGTACAGCT